CATATGGAGAGAAATCTTTCAAGATGTAAAGTCGACAAAATGAAATAGAAAGCAAAAATAATAATCTCCATCATGTATCACTTATTGTATTTCTTTTGAGTCCGAGTAGTTTGGCTTATTCATTGTAATTTCAATTATTTTTATTTAGTGTCTTATTATTAACACTTTCAGCTGTATCTGTGTTTATCTCTAATTTATAAAATAAAATTTATCCCTTTTTATTTATAATGTTACTCATAATTATTGTATGTCAACTCTCTTTTTTGTGGGTATTCATTCATCACTCTCTTTGTTGTTGGGATGTCCCACCTTCAAGGCCCAAGGTACAAGTCTCTTTACACTCTTAGGCCTCAAATCTAGCACACCAAGAGATTTTGCCCGTAACATATAATATTAATATAATTTACTTTATTAACCCATTATTATTACAGTATTAGTCACATTATTTTTAAATAAATCCTACCTATTGCATCAATAACAAGAGTACATTGTATATCCTTGTATCCTAGGAGAAATCTATAAATAAATAAAAGTTATGCCTGAAAGACTGAAATAATGCAAGCTATACGGATTTCCAAATTTACAAAATCAAGTTCAAATTTGTGTGATTAGGAGAACCATGTAATTGAAATTGGAGAAATCAAGTCAATAACCAAAGATGACTTGAAAGCATGTGGGGGAAATTCTTAGGAGTGAATTCCCTGAATCTCCTATTCCTGCCAACATCCTTTCTTAATTCCCAATGCCACTAGCTGAACATACATGTCACACAGCAAACTAGGAATCTAGTAATATTTCAAGGACTTTAAACGTATAGAAAGAATTTGATTTGTTGAGTTTGGCTCCAAGTTGTTGAACCCAACCTATGATTAGTGAAACCGGAGTTGAACCCAAACCACAATATATGTTAATGTATCTATCAATCACCTTGCATTAGAAACTAACCAAAGCAACACAAAGAACCAAATACTAGCTTAAAGAACACAGAACAAGAAAACAAAAATGTAATCAAGAACACCAAGATTCCGTGGTTCGGCCCATAAGACCTACATCCACGGGAAGAAAATAAACACCAATTCATTAAGGCAATCAACAAGATTACACAACTTTATCACTGAGAGATGAGCTCTCTTGCCATACTCTCTCTCTCATCAACCCGGTACAAAATTCCTAAGATCCTCTCCTCAGTTTCATAAAACCTCTCCTTACCTCACTCTAACAAATTGTTTTCATTCCCCTTCAAACCCTCTCAACATGCATCCCTCATTATTTATAACTAATGAGTCTTCCCCAAGTAGACCGGTTCACCAATAAAGTAGACCGGTTCACCAATAAAATAAGCATTCTTTCCTTTTTTTAAAAACAATTGATAGAATTACAGTTAGACCATTGCCTTAGTCTAATAATTGAGAGTCATCACAACACTAGAGAAATCAAATATATGTTACATTCAGAGACACTTGGAACTAGGAAATAAAAGACTTAACACGAGCTCAACTAAGGCTGAGGTAGAAGGCGATGGTGCTGCAGTTTATGGAGACATAATAACTAAACCTGATTGGGTAGTGGACAACAGTGAGGCGTTCGGAGCAGTTGAGGTAGTTGGAAGGCTAAGGTAGTAAGTGAGAGATGGTTGGAAGGTGCAACAACAAGTTGAAGGGAGATAGAAGAGAGCGACAGTAGGTTGGAGGTGGCTGGAAAGGGCCAGAAACAAGTAGATAGGAGGTGGGAGTAACCAGAAACAAGCTGGAGGCGGCTAGAAGGGCTTGGAGTGATGGTCAGTTACAGGAAAACAACAAAGAGGTTGTTTTCCAAGTGGCGGAAGCAACCACGGCAATGGCGGTGGCAAGGAGGGGCGGTGGGGAGTACAAAACGATAGATAAACATTTAGGACAAGTCAAATCCAGAGCACCTTCTAAACTTCAGATACAGCCCTAGAAAAGAAAACATGGACACCGATGATTGTCCTGACAGAAAACTCACGAAAAACTAACCTTAAACTCCGACGAAAACAAATATATAATAATAGGATAACTAGGAGTGGCCCAAGAAAACTTATTGACTCCTCAACGGAGACCCAACTTGGGCCAATTTGGTCCACAAGCGCTAGCCAGACCGTGGCTATGTTCCCCGAACTCCCTTGTCAGCTAGCTTTCTGAAAGAAAGTAATTGCTAATTTTGTAGACATTGAAAAATCCTAAGTACATCACAAAGTCCTTAGCACACAATGATTTAAAATTAATTTTAATTTATCCTTTGAGTCAACATCATGACTCAAAGAAAAGTCAGGGACAGCCTTCAAAAAAGAGGGAATACCTAAAAGTTAAACAATTTTAAAGGCAATGCTTGCAACACCCAATGTGTTAAAATGCGTGAGGCCTCACCTAAAAATTACATAACACCCAAAGCCAAGAAAACAAATCTATATGAACTCTGGTGGACAGTATACCTAATCAATGACATCAGCGAATCGTTCACTTGTCTTTGACAAGCACTCATTATGACAGACGTGCTTATAAGCAGAACAATGCCAAAGGTGGCTTAGGATACATATCGAGTAAGATTTCTTTAACCTCCTACACTTCGGTAATAAAGCCCACCTCCAAATGATATCTAGAAGGAAAACAATAAAAATTCTAAAGGCTAGGAAAATGGCAGCCAACCCACCATACTATCACAGATGGGAAGTAAATGGAAGGTTGTTAAATGGAGAATAAGACAAAAGCTTGGAATTATTGGGTACTACTAGATGATCATAGCATCACTTGGCCACAAGTTATCGAGTGCGCAAGAGTGTGTGAGGCCTGACCTATGAACTTTAGATCAAAGCCTCAAGCTAAAATGGCATAGAATCTATATGAACTATGGTTGATAATACACCCATTGATGACATTGGTGAATGCTTCACGTGGCTTTGACAAGTAATCATTAGGATAGATATACTTATGAGCAGAACAACGCCAAAGATGGCCTAGGATACATATCGATTAACGTTTCTTTAACCAAAATAATAAAGTGAGCCCGCCTCCAAATACTATCTCAGAGAAGACCAGCAGAAATCTCAGAGCTTGGAAGGGGTGTCCAACCCAGCTTACTATCATGGATAGTGATTGAGTAAAGGGAAGGTTGTTAAGTGGAGGATACGACAAAAGCTTGGAAGAGGTTGACAAGGAAAGTGACGACACGGTTATATTGTGGTATAAGTTTTAAAGAGATCCAAAGGGTATAGTTCATGTTCCTAGCGATCCTCAAGCAAGAGTGCAAAAACAGAAAAAGTAGAGAGTTCCAGAAGAAGCATAAGATAATGGAAAAGTTTCTCAGAGTTTAGGAGTTAGGAGAACATAGAGGAATGTGGAAAAAAGTTAATATATTTTAGAGGCGCACTAGGAGGAGACCAAGAACCAAGAGTTAGGAGCACTAAAGCCAGGATTTCAAAGGCTAGAGAGGAATCCATGAATTTTAAAGTGTAATAATGCATAAAAAGGCCCTCTTACCCTTTTTAAAGCCTCTAAAAGGCACCTAAGGGTGCACTAGATGATCCATCTTCCAAGAGAAAATCGTTTTTCAATTGCATTGCAGGCCGACTCCAAGAAGAAAATGAAAATTTGTATTGATACTATTCCATTTTGGAAGTACTCATGATGGCATGTCAATACATAACATGCAAATATCCAACTATGAAGCCTCAAAAGCATATTCTACCAAGAGTTGACGAAAACCTAAGAATCTAAGATGGTTCATGAGATAAGGAAGCCAATCAAGACAATTCCCAGGAGGAGGTTAGGTACATCAGAAAAAAAAAATGTCAAGGAGTGGGTAATTAGAATAAATTGTCAAGAAGTGAAAAAAATTGACAAATGAGAAATATTCTTTGGATGGATGCTGCCAGAGTGCTGGAAGGTAGAATTCTTAGGAGGATGTTGAAAAATGGCAAATTAGAACATAGTGAGGCTAGCTTCTTTAAGGAAGTTGACAAAGACAACTTCCCCGAAAAAGGCACTAAAAATCAATTTATCTTGGGAAACCGTCGAAAAGAACGAGTACCTAAGGCAACATTCAGAGGCGGTCAAAAGAGATAAATTTCTCAAGAAGAGCTCCAAGAGTGAGGCAAATTCTCAAGGCAGATATGTGAATGAAAACTAATGGACCATCTGAATAAGTTGTCTATAAAATGTGCCTTCTCAAGGCAAGCAATCAAGAGAGCTTCTCAAAAGGATTCATTGAAAGAACACCGAGAAGTCAAGGGTCCAATAAGATGAATTCAATAGACCAAGAAAATGGATCAACCTGGCATCGAGTTGCAAGAGAGGGAAAAGGTGGAGTCAATTAGCGCAAAAGTATTTCAAGTGGATAATTCTCAAACCTGAGAAGATTTTGAACTGAGAAAACACTCTAAATGGTGTCCAATAAGATCCTAATTGTTATAATGAGGGTTAGAATTAATTATGAGAAACCAAAGGTCAAAAAATCTGGAAAGGTCATAAAAGAGGTTAATATAAATAATTTCATAACTCTATTCTACTAAAAGCTTGTCCAAAGTGAATTTCTTATAAATTAGCTTAGGTCTTTCTAACATATCAAGATGAGCCTACTTGGGGAATCTTAATGTGTTGCAAATAAGATATAAAGTCCAACCCAAGTGTTGTTATGTCGTAAAGTTGACTATAAATATCTTAGATATAGCTATTAATGATGATAATAAGATGAATACCTAATCGCTAGCACATGGAGGAAAAAAATTTGATCATTCTAGTTTTACCTTGATTCGACTTATGTTAAGAAAGGTTGGAGGTAAATCTAGGAAGACTTGGGTATATTGTATAAAAAATGATCTTAATTTATTAAAATTAAATGAAAATATGACACTAAATAGGATGCAATGGAGAAAAAGGTGAAATAGGATGCAATGGAGAAAAAGGATTCATGTAGCCAACCCCACTTAGTGGGATAAAGATTTTGTTGTCGTTGTTATTGTTGTTATTGTTGTTGTTGTAGCTTACCTTGATTAGTGGGAGTCCAGGTAAAGAACCAATAAATGCACTTTTCATCACAGGTCAAAAGCCCAAACCTAAAGCCTTCTCCAAAAAACTGCAACATTTCATGCTTGAAGCCATACCCTTGAGGAAACACTGCAAAGCCTCTTGTGGCTGAACGACCAGAGAAGTATGGTTTGCTAAGTCCAAGCCATTTTGATACTACTGAGTTCACTCCATCACACCCCAGCAAGATCTGGATGCAACTTTACAATAAGTATCTTAAAATATAAAATTTGAGATTGATACACAAATGGTTAAATATGTTTTAAACATAGAAGGATGAGCAAACATCAACCAAGGATAATTCAGCACCCAAATAATTTCCAGACGACCTATTAGAGTAAAACAAAAAAATCACATGCTTCTTAATAAATATCTGCCTTGCTTAAGAGTTAACCATCAATCTCCCACGAATGAATTTTTTTGAACACCATCAATTGTTTTGTAGAAGTTGTATAATGAAGGATAAGAATTTAAAGGTTTCATTTATTATACTTTAGTAATAGTTTCAGATATCTCCAAATAGAGTAAGAACAAGCTATTTTAATTTCAACTCCCAATTAACTTCAACATATGCTAGCTAGCTTGAAATCAGCTTATGGCCCTAATAAAATGAACTTTGATCTATCTCAAGTTGAATTGGTTTAATTTAAACCATCTTGAATCAAAATCAAGCCAACAAGAACTAAGCCATTGTTGCATACTTTTATATGCTTATATATATATAAGCATATATATATATATATATATAGCTTAGTTTGTGCATGTCTACATGTCTATGTGTGTGTGTGCATGTCTACATGTCTATGCGTGCGTGCACGTGCATACATGTAGACGTGTTTATGCGTGCACAGGGGCACACACATGTGTATATATCAATCTGCATGTGCACAAGTGCTTATATGTGTGTGTATGTGTGTGCGGGCGCACACACATATACATAGCAAGATTACAGCTAGAAAATCAATATGAGCTAAAATTTTGATCTATGGCTCAACGCATTCGACTCGATTCAAGCAAAATTAATATAATATTTAATCATCAGCCTTAGCATCAAATGAACAATCAATGCCTTTACAGATCTTTACTAAACCAGTATGCCTCGCTTCATGATCCCTCAAATATTTATAGCTCCATAGGTCATCAAACTTCTCAACTTATTAGTTGTATCATCCACTAATTCTTCATTAGCCATTACTGCTTTATGACACCTAATTACATTGAATAACTAGTTGACATGAAATTAAATCTTATACTCTCCATGTCTCACATTTATACGGGATTGCTTGGTATCTTATTTTAGGCTGAATCTATGCAAGATACTGCTTAAATATTACTAAACAAAATTTTTGAACTTTGAATTCTACAATTTTGATAAAATCAACTTTATTATTAGTCAAAATTAGAATTTATTAAATCCCCCCTATTCACAAGATTTAACTAATATATAATTTCTCCCTCTAACAATATTATAACTTGAAACAAACAACCAAACAGTTCATCAAAATTTACAAATATCTAACAGTTGACATATCAAATGATTTTCAGTTTTTATAAAATCTCAAGGTTTGTAAATCCGAATTAATAATTCCTACTTGAAACCAAAGAGGCTCTAAATCGCACGCTGCCAAATCAAAAAATTTAGGAAGATTAACATTCATACCACTCAATTCCTCTGTATTTACATATCTAACACCTAAACTTCACTTTTTTTACATACATTCCCTGTGCATTAAAAATGTTATTTTAAGATTTTGAAAGTTAAAATGTTGGTATTTTTTATGTGCAATAAAATTATTTGGGTGGTATAATTCTAAAAAATAAACTTTAGGCGTTAGATATATAAAAAACATAGGAATTGCATGGGATGCATGTAAATGCACCAACAATGTATCCTTTTACTTATATGCAAGCGCAAGCTGAGTTATATAAAAGCGCACAAAGTCACCTTAGTTTTGAGAGTCGACCCATCAGCTAAGTGTAAGAGCATCAAGTAACCATCCTCCTCTATTCCAACCACTCTGGAAGAGTACCTTATCGTCCCTGGAGGCAGTTCTTTTGCCAAAGCCTCAAGCAGAAAGCTTCTCCTCAAGCAACGCACTTCACGCTCTCCTCTGTAACAAAGCAAAAGCCAAGATCAACACCTCTGCGATCCACTTTTCATCAAAATATACTTACCAATATCAGATGCTGTTTGGTTTTGTGCTATGTCGAAACAAACAGTCTCCGGCTCTTGAAATCAAATACTTACCGCTTGCCCGCAGCAGAAAAAGGGATCTGAGCGGTCATGGCTCCAGAATCCGCAGAGTTTACAACGATTCTACGCAAAACAATTTGCAAGATTAGATCCGAAATAGATGATGACGACATAACGAAATGCGTATGATTAGGATCCGGGATGAGAAGGTTACCGTTGGAGGGAGAGGTGATTTTGGCGCAGGGAGTTGGCGACACCTAGGGCATCGAGGGCTCTCCATGCGTTGTCCCATAAAGTGAGAGCGAAGCCCGATGCTCTCAGCGACTCGGATGATTCCAGGATCACGCTTCTAATCCCCTTTCTGGTCAGACCGAAGACACAGATCAGATAAGAAATCGGTGTTCAGAACTAAAGATAATCATAAGCTTCAGATTATAATCACTGAAGCTAATAAAATTCAATAATCTTTATGGGAGTACAGGACAACTCGCCTGTGCAGACCGAGGGCGGTAGCCAGTCCTGAAATTCCTGCTCCGATAATCACCACTTCCTCCATGGCTTCCATTAGAGAGAGGTATGAGAGCGTAAGGAGTGGAGAGACGGAGATATATAAAGTAGAGAAAGAGTAATTGACTGGAAAAGAAGCATGCGAGGAGAGCCAGATACGTTGGAAGACGAATAATTGACTGGAGTAGTTCTGCACAGCTTATTGAATCGGGACCGCCCAGGTTATTGGAGAGGTAACCTTCTGGTCTAATTGGGAGGTCATTAGGGTTATTTCAGATTTATTGGGGTTGTTCTGAGAAGGTTATTGAACTAGAATTGTGAAGATTATTGGAGCAATTCATTATGCGGTGTATTAAGGTTATTGGAGGATTATTTTTGCATTATTAGAGATATTCTGTGGAGGATATTGAAGCAAGACCGTAATAGTTATTGGAGCAGTTCATCGTGTGGTGTAATTGAGGGGTTATTTTAGCGTTGTTGAAGTTGTTATGTTGAGGTTATTGAAGTGGGATCGTGGAGGTTATTGGAGTGGTTCACCGCGTGGTGTGATTTGGGGTTATTGTGAGATTATTTCGACATTATTTAAGTTGTTTCTGCAAAGCTTATTGAAGCGGGACCATGGAAGTTATTTGAGCGGATTGTCACGAGGTGTAATTGGGGGTTATTGGGGGTTTATTTCAGTGTTATTAGAGTTGTTCTGCTGAGGTTATTAAAGCGGGACAGCATAGGTTATTAGAGTTGTTCACCGCGTGGTATAATTGACGGTTATTGGAGGGTTATTTCGACGTTATTGGAGTTGTTTTGTGGAGCTTATTGAATCGAAACCGTGTAGGTTATTTGACTGGTTCACCGCGTGGTGTAATTGGAAGGTTATTGGTGGGTTAATTCAACATTATTGGAGTTCTTTTACGGAGGTTATTGAAACAAGACAGTGGAGGCTATTGGAGTGGTTCACTGAGTTGTGTAATTAAGGGGATATTTTGACGTTATTGGAGTTGTTCTTCAGATGTTATTAAATCGAGATCACAGAGGTTATTAGAGCGATTCACCGTGCAATGTAATTGGGGGGTTACTTCGGCTTTATTAGAGTTGTTCTGCAGAGGTTATTAAAGCAAGACCACGTATGTTATTGGAGCTGTTCACCGTGCGGTGTAATTGAGGGGTTATTTCGACGTTATTGCAGTTGTTTTGTGGACGTTATTGAAGCAGGACTACATAGACTATTGGAGTGGTTCACCACACAGTGTAATTGAGGGTTATTGTGGGGTTATCACTACGTTATTTGGGGGTTCTTGCAGCATTTTAGGAGCATTTACATTCATACCATTTTAGGATTCTAACATCTAGTGAAAAAATTTTCATCGCATCACTCTTATCACTATTTAACCATCTTTAACCAATTATTAGTCAGTTTGCAGATACTGGAGCCACAATTGATCCCAATTATTTATGCAATTATGCAATTTTTAAATAAAATAGATGCAATCCATTGTGGAAAGCCAAATGTAAATAAAAATTGCATTAGTTATGCCAGCAACATTGTTAGATTTAATATACTTATTTTTTACGCATTATTCCACAAAAAAAATAATGGGATTGAATAGTTTGTGTTGAACATTATATCTCATATATGAAATCCATCAATTTGGTATATGATTCCTTGGGTTGTGGTGTAAACCAAATATGCAATGTTGGAATAATCACGAGTGAATGTTTATGGAGGGTAGCACCACAAAAAACAAATAACTAGAAAAAGCAAAACATAATGATGATCATTTTCCATTATATATCGATTAGTGTGAGAAAATCAAGCATTGAACACATGTTTGGATCACATGGGACGAGTTCTAGTTCTTGGTTGGTTGAAGCTTCTTTTTACTTTCCTGTGTACCATGGTAAGTGCTAGCAAAACTTATTGTTATCTAAAAAGTAAAACTCACATCAGTATAGAAGGAATATACTTTTTGCTCTGTTGTTCTTCTCTCAATACCCATTTAACCTGGAATTTGATATTCCCTTAGGCGCCTCTTGGCTGGGTCATTCAGTTATATTCATTATTCATTGGTTTTTTATTCTTTTTTTGTTGTTGCTTGGACTGAGAACCTCTCCAACTTACTATGCCATCAACATCCTATGATAATTTTTTCAATGAGTCAAACATGCACTGCTCAGCTTCTTCATTCCTTTGTGTTATATTACTAATTTGATATGTAAAATTTTGAACATGTGTGAAATATGAGGTTGCTTGAATTAGCATTTCACATTTGTGCCTCATAAAGATGATTATATCCATAATTGTTATAGATATCCCTTTTTGCATTGGCAAACCATCTCAATAAGAGATATTTATTTGGTATCTTCTTTATATGTTTAAAGTCGTAGAGAGTGAGCACATAGTAGACCCATCATTTAAAATTTTCTGCAGCTGCACTTAATCTCGGAACTGGACTTGTCAAAATTAACAACCCAAGGCGTGTTTGTGAAGTGATCATCCAAATTCTTAATGAAATATTCAGAATAACAATTTTCAAATGAATCCAATTGAAGATCACATGATCCGTACATAAATTCTTCCTCAAACATTGAGTACAGCTTCCTTGAGTAAATGAAGTTGCCTGCCTCAATATTTGGTTGCTTTTGGAGATGAGAGTAATTACAGATTGATTGCACTTGAAATCATCATCCTTCTTATTCCACCTTCATGTTCTCACGATACTTTTATGGACAAAAAACAATCGGTAGTAGAATTTGTGGGCTTTAAGATATCATGAAAAATATTATTGGTAGACTCTTTTTTTTTGATAAAAATCTCATTACAAAAATTTCTTTATTAAAAACTATAAACCACTTACGTCTAATGTTCTACATATCATCTAGCTAAACGTTTTTGTGTAGATTTCATTTCTCAATCATCACCTATCATGTATTTTCAAACTCCTCTTCAGAGTTACATTTACTCATACGTTTATAGAAAAGATCGGTTACTTTCTTAATCCCCACTCCATAGTAAACCTTTGACGAAAATTTTATGTATATATATCACTGACATAATCTATGTTGTGTATTTGACAAAATATCTTCTATGACTCTAGTCATTGCTTGATCATGATCAGTGCATATTGTTATCAGATGATTGTCATCCATGAAACACATAAAAGCTTTGAATAATCATTTAAACGAATCAATTGTCTCATCTGACAAGAATCCAAATCCAAAGAGAACATTTTTCCAACGATGGTCAACACCAACAAAAGAAGCACAACACAAATTATATTTATTTAATCTACAACTGGTATAAAAAAATAATAACATCACCAAAACAGTCTTAATCAAGCCTGGACGTGCTGCCACTCCAAAAAAGTTTCACCAGCCAACCACTATCATCTATTTTGAAGTCCCACATAAACATATTGTTCTCAATCTGTCTCTCTACGAACAACTGCAATAGAGAATTGGCATCGCCGATTTTAATTCTAAATCTTTTCTTTTCTTTCTTTGAATGAAATTAAAGGCATCTTGCTTAATACATTCCAGGTTCTCCACTCACTCACCATCTGTAGCACGAAATTTAAATGCATTTGTAGCTCTTGTAACTGATTGTGTCATAGATATGAGCACATCTGTATTGATTTCACTTATCTTTCTATTGGAGCGCAAAATGTGCTTATCACCAAGGGTTGTTAAGGAGTGGTTATGAGTTTCTATAAAATTTTTAACTATCAAACTGATTTGACCATCAAATGCGTATCGAATCATTACTGGACAACCAGTCATTGTATTTGCTTTTGTGTATTAAACAACCTCAAAGATCTTTAACTCTTTCTTGAAACATGTTTTACCACAAATGAAATCTTTTGTCTTAATAATCCTCAAATTAGACAAAAAACTAGTGTGCTCATTGCGAACGATAAATCCGATATGATGAGCATAAGCATAATATACTTCATATGCTTCTTTTTCAGTGTGAATGATGTGAAGTAATTTGTCCGCGTCTAGCTCGATAGAGTTATCTCCACTCTCATCAAACTGCAAAATAGAATGCTAATCTTAAAGTTTTCATAATAAGGCTTTACTAACTTTCAAAAAATTCACTCAAATAACACCATAATAACACCTTGATAACACCTACATGAACCTTAAAAACACCTCGTAACACAACTCAAAAACCACTAAACCTAATAATAACATCCTAAAACCACTAAAACAACCAAGTACAACACCTCAAAAATAGATGAAAAACAAATCCTCAAAAATAAAAAAAAAACATATGAAAACTCACCTCTATTTCCAACGCATGCGTTTCTTTGTTTAAAGGATAAATCACCTTCATTTCATAAATAAAATCACTATTTTTATAACCTTCAAAAGGTTACCTGCCGGTTGCAAGAGAAAAATGACGTCGAAAAATGGTGTCTGCTGCAAGACAAAATGACGTCAAAAAATAGGGTGTCGGCTGCAAGGGAAAATGGTGTTGACAAAATGACGTGTGGACATCATAAACCTTAGCGTTGGAAAGTAGCTGCCCCCATCGAAAATGATCCGCATGACTTCGACGTGAAATTTTTACCTTTTTGAAGCTTCAAAAAGATCTAGGTCGGGTCATAAAAATTCTATTTTTAAATATCTTATGAGGTGGGCCGATATGAACAAGTGGGGCTTATTATTAATGGGCATGCGGAACCGTATGCAGACTTCCTATGTAAAAATTTTTCCAATTGTGTAGCTTGAAATCTGCTCGCGCACACCGTTTCTTTCTTGAGAAATTATTCCATATGGAGCATTTACATAGCTCTGTGTGCGGACTTTGTTGTAGTATATTTAATTAAAATGATTTACGACAAAGCGAATAAAATAGCACGATGAAATTCACACTAGAAAACAACACAGTAGAACACACAGATTTACGTGGTTCGGCAAATTGTCTACATCCACGGAGTTGCAGAGGATTTTACTACATGAGGAATTTACACCAGTGGATCGGGATCGTCTTCAATTACTCAATTACAAGAGCAAACTCTTTCTCTCACTTCTTCACTTTTCTCTCTCTACGTCGAGATACACCGAAGAAGAAGAAAAACATACAAGAGAAAAACTTATTTATCTTCTGTCGCAAGCCAACAAGATCAAATCAAGAAGAGTACCTTCTTCTTCCATTATCTTCTTCTTCCTTCTGCCAATCACGAG